ATAGTGATGTGTGTGTGTTCAGGAGATGTCACCACTGTGTGATAAACAAACATGCTTATAGTGATGTGTGTGTGTTCAGGAGATGTCACCACTGTGTGATAAACAAACATGCTTATAGTGATGTGTGTGTTCAGGAGATGTCACCCCTGTGTGATAAACAAGTGTCCGTAGCCCCCAGTTTGGGAACCACTACAATAATAGGCACGTGAAGTGCGTGTTCTAAAGCTTCACACTTTGAGTAACAAGTAAATAAATATATCCATATCAACGAATGCAAATATTCAAATTCAAATAGTGTAGTCTTAGCAAAGGAATTAATCTGATATCTTAGCAAAGAAATTAATCTGATATCATAGCAAACGAATTAATCTGATATTTTAGCTAAGAAATTAATCTGATATCATAGCAAACGAATTAATCTGATATCATAACAAACGAATTAATCTGATATCTTAGCAAAGGAATTAATCTAATATCATAGCAAACGAATTAATCTGATATCATAGCAAACGAATTAATCTGATATCTTAGCAAAGGAATTAATCTGATACCATAGCAAACGAATTAATCTGATATCATAGCAAACGAATTAATCTGATATCTTAGCAAAGGAATTAATCTGATATCTTAGCAAAGGAATTAATCTGATATCATAGCAAACGAATTAATCTGATATCTTAGCAAAGGAATTAATCTGATATCATAGCAAACGAATCAATTTGATATATTAGCAAAGGAATTAATCTGATATAGAAGCTAAGCTTGATTACGTATATTTGAATGACAATGTCTTTCTATTTAATATTTTCACATGCCTCAGGAAAGGTCATGATATACTTTTAAAAAGACGAAGTTATTCGTTATTTCCATGTAAGTGGAGGTTCATCTAACGCACCAATCAAAATTCTTCCGAAAGCAAACAATCGTTAAATTAAAAAAGCGTAAATACTTTTTCTATTTCAAGAGTCTATAGTTCCTATTAACTAAGCTACACCTAACGAGCAGAAAGTCATCATAACCAGAAGAAAGGGGAATGCATGTTATGTCCTGTACTGATAATTTAGTGGACAGTCATAAAAAATATTTGATTTTTATTGTTATTCTTGTTAACAAACTCACTTTATAGTTTTAACCAAAATTTCATACATATTTACAGAAAGCAAGAATACAACAATAAGTCAACAGCGGGTAACAAAGAACACCACACAGAGAAGAAGGAATGCGCCAAAAATAATTGGATGACAGCATATACAAAAAAAAACTACCAAACGAAAGATCTAAAGGCGATAGAAACTGTTATGGGTTTTAACACAAGTGCACCACTAAATGTGTTCTTGAATGCTCTATGCCTTCAAAGCATAGTTACAAGTTTAAAAATATATTGTCTCTTCTGATAATATTTTCTTTGTTTATCACGAAATAGAATTTTTTTTTGCTAATCAAATTTTATGGGCATTTCCAAGTACGAAACGTTAAAACTTCCACTGGTGGTGAAAATGTTATTTTAATCTTGCTTCCTGCCAAATCTCTGCCAAGTTACGTATTTGCGACCAATTATCAACAAAATTCATTCAACGAACCAACCACACGGGGAAGAAATAGTTAATATTCAAGTATAACGCCCGAAACTTCTTTTAGATTTCTAAGCTTCCTCCCCCGTGACTCAGCGGCATATCTGCAGACTTACGATCTAAAATTTGGGTTTCGATACCTGTGGTGGGCAGGGCACATTGTATTACTTTGTGCTTAACAGCAACCAAATCAAATCAAGAAAAAATCAAGTATTCAAATAAAGCACGTATCTATTAGTAAGTCCTCAAATGTTTTGATGTAAAACACATGCCATAAAAGCCATCACTTCAATATTGTTTAATCTACTAGGTTTGATTGTGACGAAAGAAACGACCCCTTTACCCATTTGTTACATTTTTCTGTTTTCAAAGAGATTTTTCATGTCCAATTCATTTCATACGAAACCCTTGATTTTATGTCAGTTACTCTTAGCTGGAATCTGGTTGAGAAAACCAATTCGTTAGGAAAAATAAAACTAGCTAGCCCGACGGTTTTTTATGGTTTTCTTCTCAAATGCTCTGAAATATACGTTTTCTAATCCTTTCAGCTCACTATACATAGTATAATCTGCTAAAATTTAAAGAACAAAATACACATGAATAACACTTAAAATAAATCTACAAAACATAGTCAAATATGTAAACAGTTTGGTTTGTTTGAAGTGAATCACAAAGCTACACAGTGGGCTATCTGTGCTCTGCCTACCTCGAGTATGGAAACCAGACTTTTAGTGATATAAGTCCGCAGCAATACTACTGTGCCACTGGGGGTGAGGGCTAAGGTTTGTTATTCAGTCAGTTTAATGTAATGAACTTTACTACACGGTTCACATACTGACCCCCTTTTTTTAAGTTAAGCACAAAGCAACACAATGGGCTATCTGTGCTCTGCCCACCACGGATATCGAAACCAGGTTTCTAGCGTTGTAAGTCCGCAGACATTCCACTACTGGGGAGCATAGTTAAACAGAAAAAATGTCTTATCTGTTTACTTGTAATATATTATGTATATATTTATATGACATAAGCTTTTTTTATTCTACGTCACATACTTAAACGTTATTAACTTCAATAAAAGATATTTATGTGTTTTCGTATTGAATTTAATGTTCTATGTTAGTTTTTAGTAAACAAAATGACTATTTTTGGCTTCTTGATTTAATATTAAAATGCAATTCAAGTACTTTCTTCCAAAAGTAAGATGAAGAGGGCACTGTTTCATAACCACTTCATTCCTTTTTTTTTTTTCACTTACCCCTAAATTACGAAAACGGGTTTAGAGCAGCAGCTCCAACAACGCGTAACATCACCTTGTTAATACAAATTTATCAATCATGCAAATTTACTTTTAATAACTTAACGATCAGTGGTTAAACACCCTGGCATACCAACCTGTAATTATGTGGCCAGTAATTTTTTTCTTCTCCCTAAGAGTAGTGCTATCGTCGATTCATCCTCTTCAGGGCTTTCATCGGTATAATCGTCGTCGAGTTCATCATCTATGTGGTTAATTCCAATAAGATTAATTAGCTAGTTTACTTGAAAATCAGTATCTGTTTATAAATGTAAATCGACAATATTTTTAAGATAGGGCAGCAGCTGGAAACTATATACGCCTATCTATAATAATTGACAAGTGTAGGAAATGATTCTGAACATTTTACAATATACAACTAAAGATAAATATATATTTATTGTCTGTATAAAGCTAACATGCAAGTCTAAACCTAAAATATTTCGTGAGACTAGTTATTTTCACCAATCAATCCAAACTAAACACACAACATAGAGTTGAATTTTGCCTCTGTCTAACATAAGTTGTACATTTAACTATTTCAACCACCTATGTCAAGTTAAAACATATAACATGGGGTTAGCTTTTGCATTGTCTAAGCTAAGCCTAACATCAGTTTTTCAGTGAATCATTGCCACTACCCAAGCTGCCTCACAACATATAACATGGAGTTAAATTATGCCAATGCTCAAGCTAATCATAGCATAAGTTGTTCGGTGAATTATTTCACCACCCACATTAAGTTAAAACATATAACATGAAGTTAACTTTTGTCAGTGTCCAAGCTAAGCCTAACATAATGAAGAAATTTATTTGAATGGACGGCAACTGCCTGTTGTAACAACACAAGTATTTCTACAACAGACAATTGCCGGTCTTTCCACGAAATTTCACCCAGAATACTCTGCGTAAATAATCTATCAAAGAAAAGCCTAAAATAAGTTGTATAGTTAATCATTACCGCTACCCAAGTTAAGTTAAAACATATAATGTGATGTTTAGTCTTGCCAGCGTCAAATTAATAGTAACTTCCGATCAGGACAAGCTATGTGCTTAGAGTGAAACTAAAAATCAACCTGGCAATCATTATAGCTATTTAAATATACTTTCCTTATGTTTTTACTTATAAAGATTATAATGCATTGTTTTATGAGTTAGAGACCTTCGTTGTTGACGGTATGTTCGGCTTTAATCCTTATAATATCCCACGAGGTTTGGCCAGTTAAGAGATTTAGATTAGTTATAAATATTATATTAGTGTCTTAAGCTAATACTGCAAAATAATTTTTATAATAAAAGTAAAATGGCAAAACATAAATGAAAATAAAAAGTAACGACATTCGATATACAAGTAACATAACCAGTACGATTAATGAAAGCAGCAACGAATAAATAATATAACCTTACTTAGGGAACACAGAAAACACAAGGTGTCAGCTTGAACTACTGTCGTAGAATTGTTTGTTTGTAGTTAAGCACAAAGCTACACACTGGGCTACCTGTGCTCTGCCCACCACGGCTATCAAAACCCGGTTTCTAGCGTTGTAAGTCCACAGACTTTGTAATTTTGTCTGGAAAACGTAACTTTTCTAAGGTCCAAGCTAAGCCTAACAAATCAAACTTCCTATAGTTAAACTGCATTTAGGTTAAATACCTCTTATGTTAAATGTAGTACTTTAACATGCAGTACGAAAACTAATTACTGTATATAATAAAAGACCTAAACAATACGACGTTTTGTAAATAACATTAGCTCAGAGTTCTTGGAGAAAAAGATGAATAAAAATACTATTAAAGATAAACCTACACAAACAAATACAATGTAAATAAAATCCTTGTAAAAGATTGCGTAGTAACTGAAAAGTAGGCAAACCCCTTGGGTAAGATTTTGATAAACCCCTTGACGAGCTATCGGCAAATATTCGAGAATCTGGACATAGTCCTTGTAAGTGTGTATTTTCCGTTCATGCCTAAAGCCGACTAAAGAAATTAATCTGACGTAATGTAATAAAATAAACTGCTTTAATGGGTAACTTTCTGAGTTCACCAATAATTCAAACAGTTGAACAAAACTATAAGAAAACGCATATTTGTCGGTAGGTTCAAATTCATCGTTTACATTTGGCTTTTTGAACGAGTAGCATGGTCCTCGGTTTAAAAATTAATAATACTTATTACTCAAAGGATAAAAGGGTAGTGAAAAAAATGTCAGTAATGTTGTTTGTAGAATGTAACTGCCTCGAGAACTTTATAGTCTAACGTGGGATTTGTTCAGTCTAGAATGTTCCTATAGAACAGTTGTGCACAAACTTATTTTTCTTATTGCACCTTTCTATCTAAACACGCAATTTGTTTCACGCCCCCCACCTCATTTTACCCTGTTTATTGTTGTTACTATATTACTTAATAGTAGAAATATTTGTACGGTAAGTTTTGAAATTTATTTATTTCTAAATTTGTACGCTCAGGTATAGTCCATATGCTCCGATAATCATAGTTGTGCGTCCCCTACCAGCTCTTTGCGCCCCCATCCCCCTGGAGGGCGTGCCTCACATTTTGCACAACACGGTTATAAATGAACAAAAGTTACTTATCGTATGTAAATACCATAAAAACACAACCTGTTCGTGGCTATGTAACAAAGTCACTGTTGATCGTGTACTAGATTGGACGAACGCATTGCACGCGTTTCGTTGCTACAGCAATACTACATTAAAAGCAAAGTAACGACGTTAATAACCTTAGTCAGTAAATGATCCCAATACATTGAAACTTCCAGATGCCAAGTGCAATTTTATCTCCGTACTGGGGCTTGTCAGCCTTAATTCTGTCATTATTTTGCAAATATGACATTATAATATTCTGACAGCTGAATATAAGCCGTCATTCTCCTAAGTTACTGCCCAGGGCCAGAACCTGCATTGAGTGGCATATACCACTGGTGGGTGTGGGTGTCTGGCAATGACAGAAGATTCAAGCCTAAAGAAGTTCCAAACAACTGTCAGAAACATCACTAACTACACCACACCCTAAACAAATTCCATTAGCTCGGCATTATTATTTTAAGACATACGAAAGAGCAAGAGAAGTAGAAATGAAAAACAAGGGTGTGTAACTTCCTTGTGGTATTACAAGAATTATATATGCAAAACGAATTGAATATTCAGGTTTAAAAAAATCTACACTTTTGCTCTAATTTACTAAACGAAAATATGAAACTAGAACAACAAAACCAGCTGCCCCGAGGAAGGTGAAGTGACTGCTGGTGTGCCTGTGGTGGTAGCAGGTATACACCCGTATTTGCTATTTTGACAGAACTCAAGACATAATGTATAACCCTTACGTTTAAAGATTCACTCATAGGGGCATAAAAATAGCAGACGCGACTTCCTCACGTTTTTAGATTCTAACATCTATCTCCTTGATCTTCTTAGGTGTTGGTTCAAAAGGAACGACGAATGTGTTCTATACTGAAAATACCTGAGATGGAGAGTATAATGCTGTTGTATATTACAAGCAGTATGTAATTAACGGTTGTAATAATACTGGTGAAGACTGAACTAGATAGAGCTTGCAATGTCATTTCTGTCAGTGTTTTCTCTAATAAAATTATTCTGGTTTTCCTTTCGAGGTTTCAAGACTGCTGTCCATCAGTCGCATACAAATATGGGGTATCTTCTCAAGAATATCCACCAATCATATAACAATATAATATCTCAACAAGAATAGCAATCGAACAAATTACACCAGAATATCCTAATAAAATACCCATCGACCATATAACAAAAAATATATTTCACATTTAAAATACCCATGAATCATCAAACAACCGAATAATATCTCACCAAGAATACCTATCAGTCATCTAAGAACAGAATATCCCATCAACAATACCCATCAGTTATATAACAGCAAAATATATCATCAACAATACCCATCAGTTATATAACAACAAAATATCTCATCAACAATACCCATCAGTTATAATAACAGCAGAATATCTCACCAGCAATACCCATCAGTTATATAACAACAAAATATCTCATCAACAATACCCATCAGTTATAATAACAGCAGAATATCTCACCAGCAATACCCATCAGTTATATAACAGCAAAATATCTCACCAACAATATTAATTGGTGCCCTAACCACCTGGCCATGCCGGGCCAAACAGGATTTGTCAAAAATACTCAGCTTTCCATCAACTATGTAACAAAACAAAACATATCTTCGAAAATACTGAGCAGCCACACAAAATCTATTATCAAATTAACAGATAATCATCAGCTCAATAAAAACAGGCTATCACAGTCATATAAACAAAAGGTCACAGAGAGAGCAGTTATGAGCCGTGAAAACAAAATGTTTAATATAAATTTCTGAGCGACAGTATACATTACCACATTCCTGAGGATAAACCCTACTTTTCAACTTACGCTTTATAAAAGCTTTAACTTGTGAAAATATTTTTTGCTTGAACTATGAAATTATCCAACAGAGGTGGAGAAATTAATTTTTTAAGTCATTTTGTTGCTTGTAGCTAAGCACAAAGCAACACAATGGACTATCTGTGCTCTGACCACCACGAGCATCGAAACCTAGTTTCTAGCGGTATAAGTCCGCAGACATACCACTGTGCCAGTGAGGGGGGGGGGGCATTTTGTTCTCATTTGCGCATTTCTATTCTTGATATCACATTAAACATATTTATGATATCATTATTCAGTTTTACATTGTAAAAACAAACAAAAAAAAGCACTTCACTAGATTATAATAACAATATTATTTAGTCTT